CATGGCATTGAGCTGAAGCACCCAGCTTAGCTGTGTTTAGGCATTTCTACCACTTCTGTCGCAATGTTTATGCCATGCCTGGGGTACCATCGACATGGCCAGGGAAATGAGATTTCACCAACAAGCTGGAGTCAGACGAACCCAGCCCCATGCCACTGGGCGCCTTCATTTCGACACAGCCCACTGAAAAGCGTCCACAGACATCCCCATGCAGTGAGCAGGAAACACTTGAAAATCTGTACATCAAGGACAACAGCAGATATTTCAAGACAGCAGTTCTGCCTGCCCCAGCCGGCCCGGCCAGCCAGCGTGGCAGCCAAGGAAACCAGCAAATTTTCCCAGCCAGCACTTCTCCCGCCCCCAGCCGGCCCGGCCAGCCAGCGTGGCAGCCAAGGGATGGGCAGACCCAGGCACTGGAGCCAGCTGCTGCCGCTGGGTCCAGCTCCACCTTCCCACCACGGGCTGCCTCAGAGGTTCCTGCCTCTCTGCGCAGAGCGCATTCTTGGAAAAAGCAAACCTCCAACAAAAGTCACGTTAGCTCTTGTGTGGGAACGGCTGAGGGCAGGAGCAGGCCAGCCACAGCCAACTGTGGACCAACCACCACCTCCATCAAAGTGCTGACACTGTTCCTTCTCTGTTTAAAGAGCATACACAAAATTAATAAATGATTTTAACAACCCCAGATGTAAGGTGTAGCAAATTACATATTTTCACTCATCTCTCGATTTACTGAATGAGCAAGACTTACAAATTCTGCCTTGAGCCAAAGCATTCCCCCACATACATTTGATTTCCCAACTAGATCATGTTTGCCACAATCTTAACCTAGCTGGCATGTCTGGAGATTGCCATGACAATTATCCAGGACAAAGTATAGCTGGTGAAAAAGCACTATCTGCTTGAATAATTCTAACATCTGGTTTGTCATCTCTGTAGATTAACTAACCACCTTAAACAAACAAGCAAACTTTGGCATTTTTTCCATTTACAAAACACTAGTACTTCTGTATCACAAATTTCTTCTTTATCACAAGTTTTGAAAATAGAATTTAAAAATCTTACGTCATAAAAATTTGCTTTATGATACACTCTTTTGAGGGTACTGGATTTATTCTCATAAACAGAACATAAGCAATAATTACATCTTTCACTGCCTTTTTTACAGCCTTATCTCACATTCTAAGCTACACAAGAAGAAAACGATTTCCCAAGGGAATCAGTTTTCCTTTTAGACGAGGATCACTGAAAATTGGTATCACCACTCCAAACACCGACCCCTATTCTTAAAATCCTAATGCAAATGACAGGCAGCAGTAATCACAATCACTAAAGAGGTCCCTCTGGGTTTTCCAGCATGCAACCTTGTTTCCATAATCAGAGCTCCAGTATCCCATTTAGGACTGCAGAGGGTTTCTTGACAATCCGCAGAAGCACCTCCTTCAGATTTTTTATTCCCACATGCTAGAGAGGAGCACGTAGCAAACAAAGGCATACTGTAGGGTATCATTCTGCACTCTGCAAAAATCTAGAGTCAACATAAACACGCATGCAACATACACACTGATGCAACAGCCGTAATACACCTGCTCACCTTTCTCTGAAATCCTCCTAGTTGGGGGTGGGTGAGTGTATGTGTGTGTAAAAATAAGAGTAAAGAAGGCAGAAAAACAGTTAGGATGAAAAATAACTGGCAGTACAAGCATGTAAGCAAAAATTATCAGGTGAAAGGAGATATAAAACAAAGGTAGGAGCAAGGAGACCTGGAAACACACCACGACCCCCAAGCAAAACCCCGCTCCCTTAATCAGAACTACCTAAGTAACAGGGTTTCAGCCGCAAACTGAAAATGGCAGGATTATTTTCAGATAACAAATATCTTTAACAGTGAGGTGGAGATAGCCAAGGTATTATAATATATATAATCCCCAAAAGTCATTTGAATTTTTATTTATTTTGAATTTTACATTTCTTTTATTATTCAGAGGCATGGCAGTTAATTGTCTCTTTGCCACTACCAGCACATCTTAGAGCCTGCAGAAACTTTAGTACAGAAAAGACTCCTGTTAATGGGTTCATCTCTCACATTTAAAATGAGCTTGCCTTTCGCACTATCAATCAAAGAGGCACCATTATTCCAACTACCGAATCATTAATGATACTACTGTGCTTTCCAGCTGAAATACCATTGACTATCATTTTCACATAAGTTTAGTTGCAGCTTGGCAAACACTGGCAAGGCAATTTCCATAGCATGTTTATGCAACTTCAGCCACTTCAAATCCACAAAAACTTTCTTAAAGTCACCAGTGGCAAGGGTCCAGTGCATATTTTACCTTCCTCTGTTGCAAAAAGTAAGTACTTTCTACTGAAACAAGTCTATCAATAAATAAATTTAAGGGATGACAGTTATAAAACCAGAACAGAGAAACTCTGTCTGCACTACAGATGATGGCACTAAGATCAAATCCTGCTACCTAGTTGTTCACGGTCCCCTGAACTCTCAGAAGAACGTGAGACAAATCCACATTTCCACATTGAGCAGGGAGCTTGGAAAGCTTGAAGATCACTCAGACCCCTCCTTCCCACTCCTGGAAATGGTTACATTTGCCAGGTACTGGAAGGTGACCTATTTGATTTTCAACAGCTGAAGGAGCAATACCCTTCAGAGTTCACTAGGGATGGCAACAGGGTTGTGCAACACAAACCCTACACTTTCATTTAGTTTGCAAGGTAAAGCACCCTAAGCATAATTCAAGCCAGGGGAGTCCAGCTTTACAGAGGCACTAAACACATTTAACTTCAAATTATTTCAGCTAGATTCCCCCCCATCCCCCACCCCGAGAGCTATGGGTACTAAATATTAATACAGAGATCGCTCACATCAAACTGTATTTAACTGCATGCTACCTTTTGGAGTAACATGCAAGGAACACTGGTTGTGGCCTGCATGTTGGAACAAAGGACATATGCAAGGAAATATTTTTTACTGCAACAGTATGAAATCATGGATCTAAGGCTCACCCTAAAAATACTGCATTTCCCTAAATTCAGAATAGCTCAGTAATTTCTCAGGATGACCTGCTTTTTCCCCAGTCCACAGAGACTTGTGGATTTGAAGATACATGGCTACATTTTCTTAAAAGATGTAATGAACAAATTGCATGATTAAATAGATTTTCTTAATGTCACCGCACAATATCAATCCTCCCTTTTGCAAAGCTAAAAAAAGGCGTTTGGGCAGTGATGTTGAAACAGAGCAGCGTTGAGAGAGGGCATTTAAAGAATCATTTAACAAACAGAAAGAGTAACACAGAATATCATTCTGGTTCAAAAATCCAAACAGCCAGACCCCCAAAGAACTGATTGCCTACTTCTGTGAAGGAGAAAAAGCACCAAACACTGCAGTTCTCCACGCGAGAGGCAAGCTCTGAAGATGTGAGCCGTGCCGCTGCCAGAGGAAGCCAGCGACATACTCCGCGTCTGGTACCTGCATCGACACAGCATTCCCAGCCAACTCACTTTTCATCTAGGCTGCCTCTGGAGAAACCAGATACCATAAAAACCTCAGTCATCCTGTAACCTGGCACACCATCAAAGCCTCCTAACACACAATTACTGTGCTTCACGCCTTGAGACTTTTTTCCTTTGACTAAACAAAACCCCCACAATGGAATAAGAAACTTTCCAAGAGAAATTATGTTTGACAGAAGATCAATGATGCAGAGGTGTTGGAGGGAAAAAAGCCAGCACTGTTTTGTGTACACCTCCAAGCTTATTAACGGCTTGCTGCTAAAGCTAGATGCCCCTTCCCATCAGATCAGTATTTGATATTATTACTGAACTCAGAAGTCTGAGGTTTAATTTAATCACATTAAGGAGTTTGCAATTGCTTCCGCAATACAGTAACTTTATCATGCAGTCTGCAGTTATCCTACCATTCCCCTAGGTTTTTGCTTCGTCAGCAATAACACCCGGTGAAAATGCAGTGAAATTTGACTCATCATGTCAAAAACGTATGCTACATATAAATATGAATAACCTACCAAGTAAGGACCCAGCTGTTGCTTTAATGCATTAGCACATGTATAGTTATGCACATGCCTAAAAGCAACTGCCATGAACCTCCATAAAGAAACAAATACGCTCTTGTGAGTGAAGAGAAAACCGTAAGCCTGCCCAGAAATCTCAATCCTGCTAGTCATCACTTTCAAGGCTCAAGCCAGCATGACAAAGCCTTTTCAAGCAAGGGTGCTGTGTCAAGGAGTGAATCTGAACGAGACATGCTTTGTATTCACCTCTCAGAACACCACAGCCTTTTTAAGCAAGCTGTAAGGGAAGGGGGGGAGCACCAGATAATAATTGGCCAAAGGATTAAATAAATAAAATTAAACTTCTTTCATCAACCCTGTCATCTAGGTTTGTCTACATCTCCTTTTGAAAACTTTAAACAACTGCTCTGTGAACTGCTGAAACCAGGGGAGTGCAGGGTCCCAGTGTTTGTCCCCTATGTCTTTTTATATAGGTCCTATGCTATTTCACCTCTGAACAACAGACAGCATGGACTGAGATCACTCCACAGTTAGCCAGTTCCTTGCAGCTAAGCAACACAGAACTGGTAAATTCTGTTCAGCTGTCCTTCCCCAAGATAAATGAAGCCAATCACCTTTAAATAAATACCCTTTCTGTCAACATACTCAGCACATTAGGTAGCAGACCGATCAGAGGAGCTTTCTTCTCTACCGAACACCAGCCTGGCCCCATCCTCCCATACGACACCTACCCTCCACCCTGATCCTCATCTCAATCAGTTCACCAGAAACCGAAACACATGGATTGTTCAAACTGGGCATTTTCAGCACTTCAGAAACAAGTTCTTCTGTGCGGATCAAAAGGCCATGGTGCATGCTAGATGGTGCACTGGTCTCCTTCCTCACTACAGTGGAACCGCACAGAAAAGGATCGAGTCCTTCCAGCGGTACGGCACCACAGACGCAGCTCACCGTTCACTGCCTTGAGGCTCCCGCTAATGCCATCGCCGTGCTGCCGCTTCTGTGCGTTCTTGAACTCCTTCAGAGATAAATAAAGGACCTTCCGCACCACCCTCTCCTCTGACCAGGGAATCCCATCGCTGTCATCCTAAAGAAGGAGGTAACAGAAAGGAGACATTAGTTGCATGCACCTGAAACAAAAACAAAACAAATAAAACCCAAAAGCCTAGGGCTATACAGATTATTTGCAATTAGGGGGGAAAAAAAAAAAAAAGACAGAAGCCAAAGAAAAATACGGTGTAGCAAAATGCAACCCAAACTCGACCAGCTCTAACAGAGAACAGAAACATAACTATTATCATCGAATCAGAGCTTTAGTCCCTCTAATCCTTTAGCCTGCAAACGGCAGTAGCCATGTACCAGGTGTTAGATAGGAGGTAAAACTTCTTTGTTAAAAATCCTCATAATAAATCCCTTCTGGAGAAATTATCACAGCCAGGAAGTGCTCTCCCAGATAATTAAGAGGAGGGGGAAAAGAACCCCCACTAAACTGAATGCTGCAGAAATTTAAGAGGTAAGTTTTGTGAACCAACTTCTCTTGTTGCCATTTTGGCACTGGTTTGTGCCTCTTGGCTCAGGATTTTTTCTTCTCTGGTTTAGCGATTTGCATTTATTGCAATGTTACAATGACGTTCTACGTTGATAACAATGCAGTTACTCTGAATTTATCTCAGTGTATAGCAAAGTGGCATTTGGCCCACGGGGCATACACTTTCTACTTTATTTTTAGGAGACAAATGCTATATTGTCAAAAGGAATACTAGTGTATGTCATATTTAGTACTTGCTTTAGTTAAAAGATTAATTCCCTGGAAAAGCATTTCCCTAAAGCCTTTAGCATTCAAATGAATTAAGTCAGCAAATTGATATAAAGACGTAAGTGAGATCAGGTAAGTCATCATCTTTTCATAAGCCCTATAATTGTCTTGGGGTCTAAAAATCACTATTTGAGCGTTCTGCCCTTGAATTCCTCAAGGGCTACATCACTGCCAAGCAAAAAGATTAACATTTCTAGGCAGGCCTTATTTAGGTTAAGCGTAACACAGCACACTGCCACACTCCACTGGAGACCCAGAGAGCTCAATCAGCAATCCATGCCAGGAGAGTCTATACCATCTCCTGTGTCAAACAAGCAACCAAAACTATCAACTTCAAAAAAAAAAAAAAAAAAAAGGCGTATTTAGGGTGACCATTGATAACTTTTTCTTTGCTCCTCTAGTGAGATATTGATATTCAGCTGCTGAATTTTGATCAAACACAGTTCGCCACCCAAAAAGAAACTGTACAACAAATTACTTGGCCAAAAGAAAAAAAAAACCACAAAACCCAAATGCAATTAGCACAGTGAAAGCAGCCGACATTTTGGCAGCGGGATACGCATTCTGCACAAGGGACAAGCTACTATACTTCGAACAAGACTGAGCTACGTCCAGGGAGCTTTGGAGCCCAGGCAGCTCCTGGCAGAGAAAGCAAACTTTGTAACCCAACACCCACAGCAACTGGGGGGGGGGGGAATCTCCAGGCCAGCATTTTAAAAGGACTAGTACACCCAGCTATTTTGCCAACAGAGGTTTACACAAACAACTCCAGCTTACCATTTTGCTGCCAACACAACTTGAGGCGTAACCAGAAGTGACACTAAACACGGGAGGGCTGCAGCCTGCTCCATTTTACCAAAGCTTGCCCAAAGACACCCCATTTCAGTTCCCGCTGACTGGTGGGCACGGAGAGCAAAGCCAGAGCAGAACCCCACTGACGAGGGAGAGCCTGGCAGGATGTCGCGTGTCTCTGTTGTCACAGAAACCACTTACTAAATCCTCAAGGGAATCGCTCTCCGTTCTTAAGCATGTGTTACAGACACGGGCCTGTGGACACCACTCGCTCCCTTCACCGAAATTTGTACAAATTCCTAATAAAACAGGCAGCAAGCATGAGGAATAGGACAAAGAGCCCTCCAGCCACTCACACTGCTCCAGACTCTGCAGCCTAGACCTGTTACACAGAAACCCACCAAGAGGCAATAAAACCACCACCCTGTGTTCTCATATACTTTAAGCCGAGCACACAGGAGACGTGTGACGATCGAGCCCAGCTAACGTGAGCCGTCCCCCGAGACGCGCCGCTCTCCTTAGCCCCTGCCAGCCCCGGGCCCCTCTCCCGGGAAGCGCTGGGCCAGCCCCGAGGCCAACAACAAACCCCCCCCTCCACCAGCCTTTCTGTGAGCAGCCTGCAGCCGCCTCCCCTCCCCAGACAAGGCCCTGGACACGCAGAAGGCTGACACACACCCCCGGCACCCTATTTTCTGAGGGCCAAGGCCGCCAAGATGTCTTCCCGGGGCTCCCGCCTTCCCACCGGCCCTGGGCTGTGCCGGCCACCGTGCCACCAGCCCTAAGACCTGCCCAGGATGGGGGAACAAAGACCTCCCTCAGCAGCCCCTGAAGCAACGCAGCAATGTTTCACACCGCGCTCGATTCACGGAGCTGTAAAACTCCAGTGGAACCACACTGGCTTCATCCCCCCTCTGCAACAGCACTGCTGTCAGCAGCAACATGCGGGGGGGGGGGAAGGGGCGTCCCCCCGCACCCGCCCCGCCTCGCTGCGGGCGGG